GCAAGCTGGCAGCCAGATGAGAGCAATAGCCCGGTTCTTTCAGTTTGAGGACTTCGTTTTGGGCCTGTCACCACGCCCACCGTTCTGGAAGCGCGCCGACTCTGCGCAAATAATAAACGCGTGTCGTGTGCCAATTTAACCTCAAGTTTAGGTTCAGTGTGTCTCCGTCGCAGCCTTTGATTGTTGCCAACCGGCGGTGTCCACCGCATACCGCACAGACTGGGCGCGACACCGGTAACCTGCACGTGAATAAGTTTATAATGGCACAGACCTGTGCTCTATCTACTACAATCTCTCTTTACATCTTACTCCGGTGCCAGGGAGGTATGAAGACGATCGAAGATGGGCACTGCCGCAAGTTTGGAAAAAAAGTTGGAAAAATGATTTGTAGGGCCCACTAGATATCTATTCCCCCGCCCAACTGCTTAAAGTGTTTTGTGCTTAAACATTTAATTCCTGACCAGTGAGCGTAAATTGATATGTAATTGTGGCGTAGTTGATCAAGAAATATTAAATAAGATTATGTTTGTTTTAATATGCTAAATAGAATTAAATTCAATCAACATAAACCTCTGTTGCGCAGAATACGAAAGCTAATCCAGGGAAATTTGACCTAATGTAGGCGGAAGTTAACGAAAAATTAAAAGTCAGGCTACCGAAAATTTGAAAATATTTTTTTATTATAAGTCGACGGGATTTTCGGCCTCTATAAGCGTTCTTGCCAAAAAAGTTTATAACTTGGAGATTCCGCAAATATTCTTAACTAGGAGATTCTTAAGACTGAAATATTTGTTCTTAGTACGTCTTATCTGTCAATTTTTAGTAATATTGCCTATAAAGTATTCAACATGACGCAGAGCTATTGCAAAAGTTTTAGGTGCAGTAGATGACTTCTCAATCTTAAAATAGATAAAGGTGTGATTTTCTTTAGACAGCCTGTAACATGGAGACCTTGAATCCAAATTCAACGGTTGGCCTGCTCCAAAGTTATTCGGAAATTTAGAAAGTTTTTAACCGAATGAAACCCCGCATCAAGTATAGAATTGTAAGTGGGCGTAATTTCGTACCAAATGAGTAAACGAAAGAGCAATTATATGCATGTTTTCTCTAAAATGCATTTCAAGTTATAAGGGCAATGCAAATCAATAAGAAAAAAGCAGATTTCTTAAGTATCCATTTTTACCGAGTTTGCGTTTTGCAGTCAGACAGTCAGTCAGTCAGTCAGTCAGTCCGTCAGTCAGTCAGTCAGTCAGTCAGAAAGAAAGTTTTTCACGAGCCGGCACCCTGCTCTGACTGACATATCTTGAGATTAAGCCGCACTAAAATCAATACCATAACCCTACTTAGATCCTTTGCTCGAAGCAAAAACACATTTCCGAATTTCGGTCGACATTTCCTGAGGTAGGAAATATATTGTATGCACCTGATCAACAAGATCCCTAAAGAAAATTTGGCAAGAAGGTTTAAAGAGGCCGCAAAAATCCCGTCGACTTATAGTAAAAAACTACTTTCAAATGTTCGGTACCCAGAATTTAAATTTTTTCGTCAAATTTCACCAATAGGAGGACGAATTTCAATTTTTGTTAAATTCCACCTGCATAAGGTCAAATTTCCCTCGATTAGCATTCGTATTCAACGCAATAGAAGTTTATGTTGATTGCATTTAATTATTTTTAGCATATTAAAACAAACATAATCTTATTTAATTTAATATTGTTTGATCAATTCCGCCATAATTACATATTAATTTATGCTCAGTAGCCAAAAATTAAATGTTTGACCACAAAATACTTTAAACAGTTGGGCGGGGGGAATATATATCTACAGGGGCCCTACAAATAATTTTTGCCGAAATTTTAAAATCCCTTAAATCTCTTACTTTCATCCTCTTAGTACTACAGCGTCTTCTGCAACCAGCCTTGCAGGCGGTTGACTCACTAAATGGGCAGTTTTTGTGGCCCTTGGAAGGTTATGCAATGTACTACGGATGATTTAAAGGTTTTTGTCACGTTTACATTCTCTTGTTTCAGGCCAACATGAGGATATGACAAAATATCGAAGTGACAGTCGAGGTTAAGTCAGCGTAGGTTAGTCAGCTAACTTAACCTCGACTGTCACTTCGATATTTTGTCATGTCCTCATGTTGGCCTGAAACAAGAGAATGTAAACGTGACAAAAACCTTTAAATCATCCGCAGTACAGCACATAACCTCCCAAGGGCCACGAAAACTAGCCCTTTAGTCAGTCGACCACCTGCAAGGCTGGTTGTAAAACACGCTGTAGTAAACAGTATTAACACGCAGAACATATGTGTATTCTGGACACCAGCGATCTAAGACGCCTGAATCATGTTCAAGGCAGTACCAAATGGGATGCGAGAGTCAGTCGTTGTAACGTCACGCAGCCTTCAATTCAATGTCAACAATGGTGAATCTTGGCTCAGACTGATAGGTATGTCTCTGCTGATTGGTCGATTGCATTATGAGTCGAAAACAATCGTATAAAAAATGAGCAACATAGCCAGACGGGTCTAGTGTAGTGTTCGTTAATAAAAACGCAGCACAGAGTTTTCTTTTCGCATAGCAAGCCGTCAAATAAGCCTGTAGGGGGCTCTCATCTCGTCCGTTACAATCTTGAATTCTCATAAATGTTTTACTACTAGTAATACTACTACTACTGATGATAATGATGATATTAGTGATGATGATGAGGAAACCGTTGAAGATGATGGCAACCACAACTTTTATTTCTAAGATTGGCTGGGCGACTCAGATTGCTTTCCAAAGCCTTCGGTCAAAACGCATTAAGATCCTCTGAGGTAGTAAGAAAGGGACGAATTTAGCTGACCCAATTGTGAAAAAACTCGCGGCATTCGGCGGGATTCGA